TTATTTTATAAAATCTTTTAGAAGGGCGTATAATAATACTTAAGACTTATATGCAGATTATGCAACTACTTCAATATGTGTTTTTTTAAGTCTCTCATCTTCTAATCAAATTTGACGTAGTTACATAATTTTACATGTAAAAGACGCCGTATTACATTTATCAACAATTAGAGCTAATTTATTGCACCAAACAGTTATTATATTTATTGCTTTTTGAAGTAGAGCACAGGTCTGATTCAGGTGTAACATCTCTGAATAATTCCAGCTCATCAGCATACAATAAACAATGTACCCTGTTAACATTCGCAGTTATGTCATTAATAAACATTACGAATAATAGCGGGCCAAAAATTAATTCTTATGTACACCTGATTGCTATAGAAATCTTTTATATTTACAACCCTGGAATTGAACAAATTGGTGTCTATTCTGTAAATATGACTTCAACAAATTAATACTTCGTGTGCTGAGATCAAACGCGTTTAATTTCTCTATTTAAATTCCGTGGTCCATACATCAATCTAACTCCATCGGTCAACTCTTTCAGTTCAGTATATATTGACATTTAGTTAGTCCAGCAGGACGACTATTAAAAACTTTAAAAAACTTCATATATAGGGCGATACATAATTCTCTTCTTTTGTATTGCTATTTATTTCTTTGCTATTACGATATTTGAATAGGATCATATCTAAACATATGTAGAAAGTCCTATGGAATAAGAATATGTCATCAGAAATAAAATCAATTTAAAAGATGTAACAAAAAAACTTTTAAATGCAAATATCACAGAAACCGAAAGTTAGGCGACTTAAATAAGAGTACATTTTTTATGTAGAATTAAATGTTTTTTTATATTTTTTACTTTTTTAAACATAGCTCAACATATAAAAAAAATTGTTTTGATTTACCTAAGTAATACGGTGAAACTCTCTAGGAGCAAGGTCAAAATAAGCTTCAAATTCGTAATTCTCACATCAAAAAACCCAACACTACCAATTTTTAGTCATGCTATCAAAACTTTCTCAATTATTGAGAAATTTCAGAATAAAATTTATACCTTGAACACCCTGTATTTCTTAAACCAGCGACATTCGTATAAGATATGATGAACTCAAACATAATATTTTGGTGTCTAGTATCTCTAGCTTAGGGTTGACCTATTCTTTCTGACTCGCCCTGTATGTGTATAATACCAGTATCATATCCGTTATGCGTACATAAACATATTAGCAAACTAATAGGTACACATCAAACTTTGTGTTAAAATTTAGTTCTGAAATAGATTAATAAATATATGTATATGAACTGCATCAAATTCTTTTCTTTTGGTAAAGTAATAATCCCCCTCCAGATATATTTTCGTAAAATTTAAAAAACCAAATAGTATTCTTAGCAAGTTAAAATAGTAATTAAAGCAATAATTCTGTAAAAAATTACAGTACTATGTATCAATAGTTACAAACCAGTGTATTGAAAATTATTACCAATGTGTATTTTTTTACATAATTTATTGGTAATTTTTAATTTAATAGATATATTTATAAAAAATTGTGTCAATAAACGCACACAAGTTTTAGTAAATAGTACAACAATGTATATAGTACTTAGTAACATTTCTATTGAAGTAAAATAGTGTTTGGAGCTATAATCACAACAAATTGTAGTACATAGATCTACAATTGAAGAAGCGGTTACTACTCTATTTTTTTTTCAGTGTAGTTGTAAATGTTGATACGTCACTAAATAAAATATTGTAATGAAAGAATCTGTTTTCAATAAGTTTTTCACCTATTGTTAAACACAAATCCAAACGACGACCATCATCTCCATCAACCAATTTATGATTAAACACTGGTTTGAGAGGATGGATTTTGTCGTACTTATACTAAAATTTTTTGAATATCAGATCTGCTAATATCTATGATTTCTGACCTTTTCCTGAGTGCCATCTTTGGATTGTCTTGTACAGAGTCCATAACTACAACAGTAGCAGCGTCATTATCATTGTATTATCTTTTTATCTTTTTAATATTCTTTACATCACCAGTGGTATCAACTTTTATAATTAGTTCGCGTACTGCTCTACGAGTTACAGTTACATTTGGATACTTTTCATTAAAAATTTGTATTGCATATTGGTATGAAACAGTACCGATTCCATAACCATTTTACAAGAAAAATTCGTTGCTCTATGGTTAGCATTATTAATAAAAATTATTCGGTGGGCAGTTAATAAAAATAAATATTATGTTGACTTTGACATTGATAAGAAAATATCCTTGGTAGGTAATTATGTGGTAAGATAGTTAAAAAATGCGGCGTCTTTTTATTTGCAAAATATGATTATTCTTCTTCTCTGACTACACCCCGTATTTAAGCAATTGTTGTTGTTGAGTTCTTGATCAGCTATATTAAATAAAGTTTTTAACAAACAGAAATTAGAGGCACTTTGTTTAGGGAAAATTTCACATTTTGAATATTTTTGGATGCCCTGTATATTTTATTACATATGTATTTGATTACTGCCTACTACTTCCTAACATAAAAATAATTTTTTTCTCGAAAAATCAACAATAAAAAAATTTACAAGAGTGCAGTACCCCATCCGGGGACACACCATATTATATACTGTCATAGTTCTTTCATTTTATTGGCTAAAAATTGAAAATTAGAAATATTCATACATAAACGCATACTTCAAAAATTTTCAAATAGTAAGCCTTGGAACACTGAAATAATTATTGTTTAAAGAAACCAGGACTATAAACGACTCTGCAGGTACCTATGTAAAATATAATTATTGTCACAAATATTTGATGTCTGGGTCGAGTGATTCAGGTCTGCTGGAAATTGAAGTGGCCATATTTTTGTGAACAAGCATGGGACTGTCTTTTAGGATATGATTTCTGGGCCCATAAAGAGAACTTTTGTGATAAAAAAATTTTGAACGAAATTGGCGAAATAAGAATTTAAAATATCGTGTTCTTACTCTGGAATTTCGGAAAGGGTTGACTATTTAAATTTCAATTTGATACATCCATGTTTCTGAATTCATAATACTCGAAATTGAAGAAAAATTAAAATCTTGCAAAAAAAAAATTGTATTTATTAGCTGATTATAAAAAATATTTTGCTCATATACGTGCAACTCTTCTTGAGAACCCAGGGTAGACACCCTGTAATTTAATGTCTAATTTTCTTTAATTTGAAATGTTTAAAAGTTTTGTTTGTGGTCTAGAAATCATTTAATAAAAAACGGTATGGGTCCCAGGCTTATTTATAAAAATATGACTACTTCAATTTTCACCGACCGCCTGGTTTGATTTTTCCAAATTTATGAAACTGGGCTTATCCTAAACATAAAAATTGCGATTTTGTTGATTATAAAATTTCAAAAGTATGACATAATATGTATGTGAAATTAAAAATATGTACCTACTCTCTGCAGCAAATGTACCAGGTTAGTCAAAATGGTAAAAAACGGGTGAAAATAATTTTCAGTGAGAAGTAGAACAAATGAATGACGATTATAAAAAGTTTATAATATACCCCTATATCAATTTCTACAAAAAAATATAGGACCATTTCTTCTAAAAATTTATGCTCAGTTGGTTTTCTGATTGCATATTCTGATCCCCAAAGACTTAGGAGTAATGGAGAGTCATAATTCATCCCTACAAAATAGTGTTCTTAGGTTTTTCTGCATGTGAAACGATTGAAAAATATTTAAAATAAATGTAAAAATTATTCCACTAAAGTTATCTTTGGTTTACATCATATACAAAACGCGCATGCGGGGAGCCTCGAAGCGAAGTGGACTTGGCTGTCTCTAGACTCTAGTGCTATACATCTAAGGTGTGACTTCGAATGATTAACTTTAGTCGTTAACGTCGTTTTCATGATCGCATTTTCTTCTTTATTGGGTACTAGATTTTAGATGACCTTCGTAAAACAAGTACAAACACTGCAATATTGTATTAAAATCTACTATTTTATATTTAAAGAACATAAGAAGGATTTCTTTCATTAGCTGCTATATTTACTGTTGATTTGTGTAGTATATTCTGTTTTCAATTATTAAAATGTACGATATTACAATGTTATTTGGTGGGCAGCAGTAGGGTATTATTATTATTTAGATAGTCATATGAAGTTTCATTTATTTATATAAAAATCGTGTGTGCTCATACAAAAATTTAGTGGCCTCTAAAAAAATATATTTCTTTGAATTTTTTTAATACTTTTTCCGGAGATTTAAAGACAAAAGTGAAAAAAAAAATGAATTTTTAAATATAATATGAGGTTTACTAACAAAAAGTTGTTGTATTGTTACATTATAGAAAAAATAATCAAAAATCTTGTTTTTGTCAGCGACGTACCGTACAGACTATAATTATTATTTGTTTTTAGAAATTCAACGCTTTTTATCTCCATAACAACATATTTTAGAACAGCAATTATATATGTCTAATCCCCATTACTTTTGTAAATTGTATATACCCACATTTTTTTAGACCCTGTATAGTTATTAATATTTGGATTTAAAATTTACTTACACCCTAATCCATCTAATAAAGTATTTTTATTGTCCGCTTCCTAATTCCCTTCAAAATTATTCATTTTTCATATGCTTTATTACAATGTTTTTTTTTTGTTTTTATTTTTGATATTTATGAGGCATTAGGATTATTATTTAAATATAGAATTCAAGGTCCTTATACGGCAGCTTTGATTTTGTGTGTTTACATTCCCACCTTTGAATTTTGGCAAAAACAAACACGGGTGTTATTTAGTTAAATATATTTTCTACAAAGAGAAATATATTGACACACATTTTTGTAATGAAAACGGTAAATTCTAAAATAGCACATATTTGGACGGAGTTCTTTCTATTACTTTCATTCTCATATTAAATATTTTAATGTGAGGATATACATAAAATATAAATCATAAAATTCTACATTCTATATAAATAACAATGTATTTAATTTACTTACTCTTCGGACCTTTGGGACATATTGTCTTTATCCTTGTGAGCCTGCCCACTGCTGCAGGAGTTCCCCATGTCGAAACACCTTTTTTTCTGCTACACTGTTTATTTGCAAAAATAAGTCATTAACTTCCTTACGATTGTGTCTCTTTTTCGAAATAACCCGCACATTTCTAATTATTAGAATAATAATCGTCAGTAACACAAAACTTCAATATTTCTTTATCAGAATTAATTATAAATACAACTATTGGTTAAGAGAAACAACACGTTAATAACACCTATCTTCTAAGAGAACTACAAGAGTTTAATTAAAATATTTAATTGCTTCGTAAATTTTTGGGGCACTAGATTTTATTCGGTTCCAATTTAATAAAATTATTGATTTGGCTTTATTCCAGTTATGTGAGATTTTAATATTTTTTTTACATACCATTTACTATTTACACTACACATAATATAAATAAATAGTAATATTTGGAATATTTCGACTGCATGTCTGGCTTGACGTAAGTCACACATACAGTAGGCAATAATCAATGTTAAGAACGGCGGGATCAAGCAAGCGCTATAGTGTGACGTCAACAGACGCCCAAGTATTTTCGGGACTCTCTGGGAGGGCGTCACGACGTCTTTACGTGCGACTGGTGCCGTTATTACAGGTTTCTCTTTCGGACTAGGTTACATCCGTTCTGTTTGGAATATTTTCCGGAAGATGTCGCCTTATTTACAGTTTGAATACAGAAACTTTATCGAGATGTTTGAATCTACCCGTAATAGACCAAGAAATAAAGGTGAAAAATCATAGAGAACTCGTAAAAATTACTAGGCGTGAATTTATTGTTGGAAAGTCTTGGAAATGATAATACAAGAGGGGTCTCATCTCATCTCAAATGAGTTATGAAAAAAGTATAGCGTCGTTGTTTTTTATCAATAGGTCAAAAATTCGTAATTTTTCGTTCTACGTGTTATTGTAAAAAAAAACTATTAATCTTAGCAAAATAGTTCAACAGACGATTTGATCTAGAGAAACTCATCTTTAAAATGAGACTTTATAAGTTAAAATTGCTTTATAAACAAAAAAGTTATTGCAAAATTAAACGAAAAAAAGTGCTTTTTCTTTAATTGTTAATAACTTTTTAAATAATTAATAAAATCTTACCAAACTTTCCCAAAATGCGAGTTTTTATAGCCTTAAGAGATGTGCCAAAGATGGGCTCGATCGGTAAAATAGTTCTTTGCAAAATTCCATTTATTTATCCTATTTTTGCAAAAAAAGACTGTAGTATAACAACCCCAGGTTCGATCAAAAAATAAATAAACGAACGTTGTGGCCAAAAATGTGTGATCGTCATAAGGAATCCCTACGTTGTATACATCTATTTTTAATTGACCGGAAGGCGCTGGCTACTAACTTTTTTTGAGGGGATGTATGGTTAATTTTATAAAACAAAAGCAGAGTAAATACACCTAACTTTATTATTTACATTCAACAGTCTACAAATTAAACATGTGACAAGTAGAAAGAACAACAAAAACATTAACAACCATTTAACATAAAATTAGAGTGCCAGGCTCACTTAGAGCTCCTGTGGGGAAAGAGCATGGCAGAGAAACCCACCTTAATGTGTCACTAGATGTCATCTCACTCGTATTAGCCATACACACTTCCAAGTAAAACTGAAGAGGTTTGGTGTTAGTTAGCCGACAGGGCCGGATGGTAATAATAACAACAATAATAACAACAATAATAATAACAATAAGGTACTGGATCCAGGTAAGGTACTGGAGTCCCATACGGGAGGCAATTCAGCTAAAGTTGAGATTTCGGAAGAACAACAACAATAATAATAATAACAATAATAAATAGGTAAGGTACTGGAGTCCCATACGGGAGGCAATCCAGAGCAATTCTTTTTTTGTATATAATATCATGGGCGAAAATGTTACTAAATTCAACAAAGCTCTTACATGCGTATGACATAAAGTGAGCACAAGAAATCTTAGGACAACGTAATCATGATAAAACAAGTTAAATGTGAAACAAAGAAGTTGTTATTGCAACATCTGGGCAGCCCCGACAATATATACATTTTTAAACATGTAATAAATAATGAGCAATCCTTAATAATAATTGTAACAATTTTACCTTAGAAAAATATACGCCCCTGAGCATAAAACAATGAAGGCTAAACATACAAAGAATTATTATTATGAAACATCTATAACCATCACAATCATAAGATTACATAGAACAATTAACAACAAAGTACTTATAGAATATTACCTGCTAATTAATACCGGTTAAACACTTAATTTTCTACTACTTCTATATTTTTCACACTACACTGATCGTCTTACTTTTCACTCCGCGCTGTTCTAACTTCAACTGCCTATATTCAACTAACTAGACTTCCTTCCAGAATGCCCCACCTAGGCGTTTGCTTTTTTGCGCTTCCTTCTACAACGGTCAATTTCATTATTGTGTACACCCATGTAACAGGTGACGTCGAAGTTGATAAGATAAGTACGGTTTTGCACAAGACCCATTTTCAAATTACTATTCCGGGGCAGGAGTATGACTAAAATATTCTTTTTGGGTTCATTTTCTTCGAAAGGACACCAAGTATCCTCTAGTTAAAAAGAAATTAATTTTCTTTCAAAATTAGTTGTATATAATTGTTACCAAATAGAAGGCACATTTTTCCCTAACAAACAAATAAATTCCAAGGTTTTTAACTTTTGAAAGCTCGTATTAAATTAAAAAAAAAGAAGGTTCTACGTTACATAGAAGCTGAGATATTACAAATTTGACATTGTCAGTTTTTTCCTGGTTGAGAGGTAGAGGTGGGGGGACCACCACTCCCTGAAGGGCTACTGCCGCTTACCCTTACTTTGACGGGCTCTGGATTGATCAATTATGGGCAAATTCAATTAAAATTAACAGGGCAAAAAGTTTAAACCTTCATTTAGAAAATGTTAAAACTTCAAGTCTTAATGTTTATAACAAATTGCTCTGTGATTTAAAAAAAAATTGCTAACTCTGGACTTATGGGTTGTAGAATTGTAGAAACTCGTTTTTTTTTCAATTTGTAGTTTTTTTATGAGTTTTCCAATGCTGTATATAAAAATTAAAAACCTCGGAGTTATTTTATTTGTTTATTAGGGAAAAAAAGTGCCTTCTATTTGGTAACAATTATATACAACTAAATTTGAAAAAAATATATTTTTTTAACTAGACAATACTTGGTTTTCCTTCGAAGAAAATGAGTCCAAAAAGAATGTTTTAGTCATAATCCTGTCCCCGGAATAGTAATTTGAAAATGGGCCTTTTTTTTTTGCAAAAATGGGATAAATAAATGGAACTTTGCAAAAAATATTTGACCGATCGAGCCCATCTTTTGCAAATCTCTTAAAGATATAAAAACTCACATTTTGGGAAAGTTTGGTAAGATTTTATTAATTATTTAAAAAGTTATTAGCAATTAAAGAAAAAGCACTTTTTTTCGTTTAATTTTGCAATAACTTTTTTGTTTATAAAGCAATTTTAACTTATAAGGTCTCATTTTTAAGACGAGTTTCTCTAGATCAAATCGTCTGTTGAACTTTTTTGCTAAGATTAATAGTTTTTTTACAATAACGCGTAGAACGAAAAATTACGAATTTTTGACCTATTTGTTGATAAAAACAATGACGCTATACTTTTTTCATGACCCATTTGATGAGACACCTTTTGTATTATCATTCCCAAGACTTTCCAACAATAAAATCACGCCCAGTAATTAAAATTTCAAAATGTTTTCTTTCCTGGTCTAGTAATAAGGATATTCCCAATATCTTCTCTATAACATTCCCAATTTGTAATTGACTAACATTTTGTTACTCTAACTACATAAATTTCGGAAATATAAATTTTTATTTCTGTGAAAAATATGTAATTCAGTAATTTTATTGTTGAAGTTAATCGCTCTTAAATATGTTTGATAATTACTGAATTGATAAAAAATGAGGACAGCATATAGTTCAAATTATGTGTCTGGGACATACGGTGGGATATTTGGTAAATGGCTGCGACAAAGTATCATGCTTGTGCAGATAATTTAAACTAAATTTTATTATATTTATGTATCTATTGTATCTACATAATAATATAAAGTATTGAGAAAGATTAAATATAAAAAATATGTGTACTTTTAACAATGACATAATATTCTTTTATTTGAACCGCGTTGTATAAGGTAGATTGTGGATTTGACAACAAATTGTATGTAGAACAAAACCTCTTTATATTTTCTCGTATTGAAGTTATCGATAGAAAAGTGTTATTTTCCCTGAGAAACCATAGAAGTGAATATTTTGGACACTTTATTTTATTCATTTTGGGACACTTTTTGTGGAGAATTCAAATATCGTCTTATACTAATGTGGATGGAGAAAAAGCATGCAACTATTTTTTCCTTATGGATTTTGACTTTTTTTTCTCTTATTGCTGAAAAGCTGCATTTCTTGACAATGCTGTAACAGACCAAATATCGCTTACCACGTAAAGGGGCGTAAGTTCTATTTGAGAAGGTAATATTTCTGGAAAACAGTATAAAGGAGTCATCATAAAGTATCATGTCTGTGGTTTATAAAAAAAGATTTTAGTAGACATACCTATAGTCCGTACGTATGATACTTGTTGAGATAGCATTTCAAGAAGACTCCTGCGCCACTTTATTGGAATTAACCGCATTCGACATCCGCGGTATAAAGACATTGGCAGAAAATTTCAATGCACGCTCCTGCCGCGGTAAATTGCTCAGTAATTCAGCTAATTTTCTACTTCAACAAATATTACAAGGATTATATATCTTTACCTTTAATTCTTTTTTTGTTGCTTACAATTGCATTTGCGAGGCCGATGTGGCAAATTAACAATTAAGTACATATGAAAAGCTAATATGAACAGTAAATTCCATAAAATAAGCCACTGTAAAATAAACACCATTAGCAAAATCTACGAAATATAAAGGCTGTCTACTATAAGAGGGCCACTCCTGTGTATCTCGCTTAATATACGACGCACGTCAAAAATCTTTATATGGTACTTGTTGCATTTGTTGAGGCCTTTATGCCCGTAAAAACAAATTTGAGATCCATGGCCAACTTTGTGAGTAATCATAAAAAAACCGGAAATGTACCGAAAGTTTAGGGTCGTCTAACTTTTTTATTTTAAGAAATAGAAAAAACTAAGCATCACGAAAATATTTGTGTTTTTTACATCAAAATTATAAAAAAATTTAATAAATATAAAAGATAAAGGCGATATATATCTAGTATATCGCATGAAAGACGAAAAAACAAGCAATTATTTTGTGGCCATAGCCTACTACGATGACCATTTTTTTTTGTCCGTGTGGGGGGCGCAGCAATTTACATACGATAGTTCAAAAATCTGACGTGACGAAAAATTTTGACGTCGTCGTATATTAAACGAGATACATAGGAGTGATATCTTATAATAGACAGCCTGTATATCAAAATGACTGCCACCAAGTAATATGTTTGTGTGGATGGTCCAAACTTAATTTTATTATGTTTATCTGTGTATCTACCTTCTGTTATACCTATTGAGAAAGACTAAATATAAAAGAAATATGTACACTTTTAACAATGATATAAAATATCAGTTGCCCGTTTTTTGAGCCGCGGCGCGGTATACAGGGTAGATTAAATTAGTAAAATTGTGGATTACACAACAAATTGTATGTAGAAAGGAACCTACCTACTTCCTTACTTTTTCTCGTTTTAAAGTAAACGTTTTTATTTTATTCGAAAACCAATGGACGTGAATATTTTAGGACACCTTATTTTATGCGTTTTAGGACACTTTTTGTGGAGAACTCAAATGTTGCCTTGTGGCTAATATCGATAAAGAAATATCATTCAACAATTTTTTTTCTTATGGATTCTTATGTGTATGTAGTTCACTTATTGATTTACAGATATTGAAACGCAGCATTTATAAAGAATGCTCTAACAAACCAAATGTCGATTATCGCGTAAGTTCTATTTGAGTAGGTAATTTTTCTGCAAGCAATATAAAGAGGTCATCACATATAAGTGATGAATTTCTTGATTCTAACTAATATTAAAAAAAACAATTTACCAGCATAATATAAAGAAAATATTGCATCAAATGATCTCTTTCTTTGTATTTTATTTTTTCGATTTACTAGGGCTGTTTCATTTTCCTTGACCCAACTTTTGTATTTATAGGAATTTGATGAACATACATCATGCTGTGAAGCAGACTTGTTACTATGTGTCATTAATTGGTTACAGTGACTGTATTGCTTTGTGTGCTCACGCAAAGAGAGCAAATTAACAGTGCAGGGGGAAATACTATCAGTTAATCCAAACAAAGATTGTTATTGTTATTGAACGTAAGTGGAAAACTCTGAGCTTTTCAGAGAGGTTAGGCATTTCGGACCGAGAGTAAATGTAGTAGAAGGTTAAAGTACATCTAAAGAATATATTCTTCTAAAATGAAAATCCTGGTGGTGTATCAAACCAAAACTTCTTTATAGTGCAGCGCAAGGACTAATGGTCTAACGGTAAAAAGATAATTGCAAGAAAAAATAAAATAAATACTAGAGATTGGTCTGTATAAATATGATAAGAGAAGTCATGGCGTCGTCCGCAAAGGTAGGTACTTTTGGAATTTTGTTAAGTCGATCGTTACTCCATATTGTGATAGAAAAAGAAACAAGAATAGCATATCAGGAATGGTCATTGGAGGACGACTGATAACAAGAGACACTTCAAATCAAGAATGAGTTACTTTTGAAGACAATGTTAGAGATGAGATTTAACAAAATAATTACAAAATTCAACTTCCATGTTTTTGCAAACTGGAGTAGAGATGTCAGGAAAATGGGAGCCAATATACAATGCATTGTAAAAATGGAGTCTGCTTCAAAAAGGGCTCTAAAACAGAAAGTGTACTTTATCTAGAGTTGCAGTAGTTGAACTGAGGTCCAATTGGCAAGTATGTTGATCTGAGAACTTTCTCTGTTATTAAAAATATAAATTATTTGACGGATTTGCGGAGAGGTTATATACGTAAACTTATATACACGTTTTAACAGGTTAGGCTCGAATAAACATCTTAGGCTCAAAATGGCAAGGATTAGCATGGTCAGGCTAGACTGAAAGTCAAGACATAAACGCACTGGAGGAAATGAAAAAGTAGATGATGTAAAGAGCTGTCCTGTACATTGCAAGTTAGCTGCTCTAGTTGTAAGTTAGTGACATGAGTGAAATGACTATATAAGAAAGGTATAGTGGTGTAGTTTGGATAAGCGGTTACAGGAGGTAAGCCACGAGAAAGCAAGGGTCGAAGCGAGCAAAGCTTTGGAAGCCGGCAAAGACAAAAGATACTGCGGTGTATCTTACTTTCGTTATTACAATGATTATGTCATATTTTACTGGGAGTTGGGGGAATATTCAAGATGCACCAATACATTAGAAATTTATTCAAAGACATTGGATCAGCACTAGGATTTGTGTAAGAAGTCGATAATATAAGAGATCGGTACAATAAAAATTCAGGTAAGGAATGCAAAACCGCTTCCCTTAGGCCAAAGTTATATAGGGTGGTTTCCTTATGTGAAATTAATAAATAATATTTATAAAGTAAAATTATTAAACACTACAACTATTTTTTTTTATCCATTGAAACTCTTCAAATTAACCTTAATGGGAGAATGATGACGTATTGTATTGACGTACACATAATGAGGAATTTTAATTAAATTCTGTAATGTCTTCCTCCGAGTCTTAGATGGCAGTGCCAATAACGCAAATTATATTGAACAATATTTGGAAATATCCCGGATAATGGTACCTATATAATGAATACAACAAGATTTTTATCAATTTCTTAGGATTTATTACTATGTGGGATATAAGGGTGTGAACAATTAACATCAGCTTGATTATATAATTTATTATATACATATAAATATAATTACTATACATAACAAAATAACAAGATAAATAAAATTGTTGACTAAATATAATACATCTCGGACGCAAACAAAATTAAGTACTTATGTATATTCTTACAAATGGAAGTAGACATTTTTAATAGCAATGCGGTTTTTCATTTTTTTATATTAAAAATATGACCTACACTTATCATGTACACAGTGTGTATAAATATCATCTCAGTACTTTGACTTAATCTATGTAAGTCAACAATCTAAATATTGAAGTATATTAACATAATAGTTCAATTAAGAAGGAATACATAAAAATATATATTACATAACATATTTAAAGTAATTACACGAAGTTAAGTAAAGTAGACATATATAACTATGTGGTAGTTGGAAATATGTTACATTACAATCACCAGCACTTAACAATTGGATTTTAACCAAAAATGTATCCACAATCTTTCAATTTGTTAAATGTCTAGATTAGATTAGATTTTTATACACGAAGAATATATTACTAAACTAATGAATTTGTACCAATAATTAAATGACTAATTTAGAAAGCGTAATAATACAACTTCATTTACCTACCACATACTGGGTTTAAGGAATGAATCAATTCATCGAAGTATTACATTTTCAAAGAAATCTTTTCCTTCCCTTGACGAAGAATGTTTCTTAAATAGATTCCAAGTTAGTCTTTTGCTGTTATTATGCTGTGCCATCGATCCAGAAGGACTCGACATTCCGCTTGAAATTCCGGAACTACTGCTGTGAGTTGAAACTGATCCTTTGCAATTATTGGACTTCGAGGGCTACAAAAGAAGAATTATCTTATTAATTAATTTAACAGAATTAAATTTCTGACATTCCTAAAGTTTTCTACCTTTTGTTTTTCTATTAAGGAAAGGTGAATGTAACAATATATAAATATTGTACTCTACTCAGAGTAGACAAGTTAAAAAATTTCGTTAGCTCGCTTATGGCATTATAAGAATACCGGAGTCTTCGTAAATATTTTCTTGTTGACTTTTAAATTTAGAGCTTTAGTTTTAAAAAGGACTTATGATATATTCAGCATTTAACACAAAGTGATAAAAAAGGACACTTTTTAATATAAGAGACACACGTATAGTCGTCAGTGAAGTTATTAGAGGATTGATTTATTTGAAAAAGGTCAACATATTTAAGTACGTTTCATTAAAAGCAATATAAGTTATTAAAATTAGTTATTAACCGATAAGGAGAACCGATAACAAATAGACCTAAGTACTGTTCTTTTCCATCTGGTAAACAGCTGCAGATCTAGCAAGAAGCAAAGGAATTAAAAATTTGAAGCTAGCATTGATTAACTGCGAACAGGTACAAAGGGAGATTCCAAATTCAGTACTTCTCGAAACCCCAAAATACAGCTTTACATTAGAAGATTTATCTGTTTTTTTAATTCTATTTGTATTCTTCAAGGTAGTTTATCTACAACAGTAAAGATTGCCCTTTCTCTTTTATCTTTGAACGATGTATGGAGATAATTACCGTTTCTTTCTTCCTTTCATTATGTATCATCTTTTAACATCCAATACTATTCTACCATTATATTATCACCTCGATAGTAACGTTGACTCGCTCTGAGCCCAGTAAATTCCATCACAATCTTCGCCCAACTCTTGTCTTTCATGCACTAGCACCTTTTTATTTACCCAAGGTGTACTGAACGCATTATCTTCGTGGTAGACTGACGTATCGATTAACTGAATGTCTCTTTTCATGACTTATTAAATGTCAAGGTCCCTGAATACGTAGATTAAACTGTCCGTGTCCGTATATAATAATTTAGCACTATTCCTGAAATTTTGTTTAATTTAGTCAAAATGAAAGTCGTAAAGCATAATTTTGAAGAGGTCTAAAATGTTGAACCTAACATAAAAAACTTTATTTTTAATATGTTTATATAACAAGCGTTCAAATAAAAACGTGGTCGAAGTTGGCTCTGACACATTGGACGTAGGGAGTAGCTTATAGCGACCAACTTAACCTCATTTCTCAACGAGCTGTATAGCAGCTGTCAGTTTCAATAACGTTAATGACTATATAACTTTATTTTAAAGAATAATCGTGATAACAATAACAAACAATTAAAGGAGCTGCGGAAAGTGTCCCCCTCCTTGTTCCAAGCACTTTTCACACCTGTTCCTCAAAGAATTAAAGACATTTGCTAAGATGCTCGGGGTAATGTTAATTTCACGAATCTTGTCTATAAGTCGAGCCTGCAGATGGTTTAAATCAGGAGGTGATATTATGAAGTTCACCGTAGTTGTTTAAAAACCATTCACAAAATACAGCCCGTCGCGGAAAATCAACTTCATGAAGTTCTTGCTGACAAGTTAAACGATAGGAGAACAAACGCAAATCTTTTTTTAACACTGTGTGGCAGGTACCGACTGATACTCCCACCATTTGTGATAAAACACGTACAGATGTTCTTGGCGCATTTTCCATTATTTGTTGCACATTTTCTTTTAATTCTTCAGTGCGCTTTTTAGGTCGGCCGCTTCCTTATTTTCTTGTTACACTGCCCGTTTCACGAAAAACATTAACACATCGCTGAACTGCACTTTGAAAAATTTTGTACTCAACAACGCCGGGAAATTGATTTTGAAATTCTATGAAACATTCCTCAATAGAATACTTCCATATTCCATCAATCTTGCGTCCATTTCTAAAGTAGGACTCTATGATAAACACTTTTTGTTCTTGAGAAAACACCATTTGAAACGCTTTTTAAAACGAAAATATTCAAATTGATAGCGGCGATATACTATACCCTTTATTGCTATACCCTACGTCCAAATTTTCAGAACCAACTTGACCACGTTTTTATTTGAACGCTCGTTATAAATTTGGTTTCTCTATCTATTTTCCCCCATGTAAAACTTCCTGCTTTGTTACGAATGTAATGTCCTGATGTTTCCTCACGTTCTCCAACGTTTCGCCAAATACCGCGGTGTTAATTAACTTATAGATATTTTCTTGTTAGTTGCCTGTCTTAATTCGATATTTAAATGTACATACTAAAAAGGTAAGCAAGTTCGCTGACGCGGACTTGACCTTTCTCTCGGGCCTTCTGCCCTCGGGACCGCGCTGCGCGTGACTTGAGCGTTCTCTGTGGGTTGGTAAATAATATATAACATTTTCCCAAAAGAAAAAAAGAAAAAATGCGACCCGTCCGCGTTTCGAATTTCGGACCTTCGGCTTCGCAGTCGTGAGTTTACAAAATGAGCTACGGCGGTCTAACGCTGGGTGGAGCCTGCACGGGCTATTTGAAACGTTGGTTCTCCGCGAATGTAAACAGAAAATTGAAAATGTTCAAATCAACTTTTGTCGCAAAGTTGCGTCTCTAAAAGATCAGAACCCATGCCTAACGGCAATGTAACGACTCACCGTGCACCGATCGGCCGGGAAAACGCGTCAAATGACAAAATTTATTTTGACATCTTCACTGACGTTTGTCCCCACCTCTGTTTAAATATCGGATATCCTTCGGGTATCTCTCTCCCACCGAAAAAAGTCAATTTTCGACAAGGACTCTTTTTAAAGTGGAAATTTCACATAGAAGGCGCGAACAGATGACCTTCAAAATACGACGTTCGGGTAAAGGAAGGACCGAGGGACTCGCCGCTCCGCGACTCGCGAGGAAAGCCTTTGATCGCCTTTTTTCGCGGCCGAGTGTGGGAGCGAGAGTAACCTACAGCTTTTAATATATGTATATGGATTTTTGTAACTAAGTTGATTGTTGAATTTTAAAAAGTGTAGTAAATAATTTTTATTGTTTGCCGCTGGAGGAATCATTTGTACCGGTCATCGGGCAAATCTTTTTCGAGCTCATGAAGTTCTAGTGGATACTCAATGTTCACATCAAAAATATAACCGATTTTGGCATCATTCGCTAAATCGGAAATATTCAAGTTGTAGAATTGATCGACGGGTACCCACTCGAATCTACCAATTGGAAGGGGAAGAGACATTGCTGAGCTGTATAAGTTGTTTACGTTATAATCATGATGTACTTATCGAGTTTGTCTGGGATCTATGTACTTGTTGTTAGCTTTTGAGTACCTGTTCGACACTTGGGCTAGGCCACGTCGGATCCCCTTTTTGATAACTAAAACTTTTCAATGCTCATCAAGTCTTGTTTAATAGTTTCCAGTATGGCATCGAAAGCCACACCTGGCGATGCATAGTAATGAAAAGGATACAAGGCATAAGTAAAGCAATGTTATTGCTTTTCAAAAATGTAGAAAAGTAGAATATCCCTTTTCAAATATAAGTCCAAATATTCCTCCAAATTATTTTTAATATTGAATATATTCCAGACGTTAGTAGCGTGTTCTTATATATTGCCGAAAATAGTATCTTTCATTAATTTGCTGTAGAAGTCGTCTTTTGTCAATCAAATTAAGTCAAGGCAAGTTATTTAATATTTCCCAACAATTTAAATAATCATAAGGAAAATCGCCTTTCCTCAAAATTCGGATTCACAATGCGATTTAGTGATTATTTCTGGCTATCATCAAGATAAGTGGCCAATTTTTCAAACACTCCATAGGCTCTCAGCGTTTCTTTTACAATTACGAGTTCTGTTTGGAAATTACTCCCTAGACCAATAACAGAAAGCCTACCAAAATCAACACTTCCAACATTGTTTCGTCTTGTTATCTTTCTCAGCGCCTTTGCCACACGAATTCTGTTATAGGGGTACAAAGAAAATCCTGATTCATTGGTGAATATTAATCTCATTTTCGGTAATCAATCAATTGATATTGAAACTGGCATGATCTTTTGTATTTATGGTTCTTTTTCTTAAAGCTCTTCTTTGCCTTTGAGCTGCTGGCAGTAGTCATATTTCTCCTTCAACAAACTAACTAAATGAATTCGTAAAGAAATAAATTATCACTTGTTATATTTGACCTTGAGCAATAAAACGAGAAACTTACAAGTTACACACGCTATAAGCCTATAAAAATTCAAGGAAACTAAAATACCTGAGCCCCTGAAGTCAAACACAACAAAATTACACGTTTCTTTAGTTATAGCTGAAAATGGAAATGGAATATTCTAAAATCGGTTATTTTCTAAACATTTTGCAGTACTGTCGAACGAACCCATTTTTGGGAGCTTCATTTCAAATTTTGAGTAATTCGTAATTTTATAATTAAATACAAACTCTTACCTTAAGATAATTTCTGTCCATGGGCGTAACCAATTTTAGGCTTAAGGAATCTCCCGCATTTTTTATTAGTGACACGACCTCATCGTGGGAAGACCATTTGACATCTTTTTCACCTATGGCAACGATGAAATCGCCTTCTTTTACACCACCAAACTGTAATGAAAAATGGAATTATATTTTTCAGTGTTAGGTAAAAATATGAGATCAGGTTTCTATGACTGCTAAAAAAATATGATTTTCATTATTTTTTACCTCCGCTAGGGAATGTTGGTCAACAATAGCCACAATGACAGGAGCATCTCCTCTTACGGAGAAACCAAAGCCCTCAGTTGTTCGCCCTCGATGCAGTTGTACCAGTCTTGGAGCAGTCCAGTGCCTTTTGGCTGAAAATATGGCAATCGGTCCCAAACCTCTAAATAAATCGTTTACACGATACTGTGAGAAATCCGGCGGGGTTAGTGATAACTGAAATTTTGTGGCAGCTGAAACAAAAATGGTAAAATAAATTTTAATATATTTATTTTTTAATAACTGGGAAATATGTGGCATAATGCCTATTAGTCCGGTCAAATTAGTCATAAAAACAGTGGTCAAATAACAAAAATTCCGACAGAGCTAAATTTTGGTGGAGACCTTGGGTATACCATTAGAAATAAAGTGTCAAAAGTCCCCACCGATCCCATGCGTGCTAAAAAAAATTTTCGGGTTTTTTGGATTTTTTTCGAAAACGGTAAGTTTTATCAAAAAAGTACTTCTTACAAAAATTATAGATATGAAAATTATCTATAAATATGTTCTTTATACTTTTTTTTCTAAGAACCACCATTCCTGAGATATCGCGATTCTAAAAGTTGAAGGAGTCACCTTCTACATGATATGCACATATATGCAATATGCATATATACATAGTCAGGCACTTAATGCAAGTAAAAATGCCTATTTGTGTCTCTTATATGTATAAACTATACTATTCTGAAAATACACACTCAAAAGAAACCCAGTCCCTTAGTCAAAATGACGCAGATGTCCTTATAATTGAAACAGCAATAGAACAATTTAATGCAACAAATATAACTATTGTAGTTGGTGAAGATGTTGACTTATTAATACTACTCACTGCAAGGACTCCAATTGATAAAATTATATACTTTTTAAAACCTGGAAAGGCTCAACAGCGAACAGAAATATATTCTTCAAAAAGTTTATCTGCTTATCCAAAATGCCAAAACCATATCTTATTTTTACATGCGATAACCGGCTGCGATACTACATCAGCAATGTTCAGAAGGGGTAAAACATCAGTATTAAAATTATTTGGAAAAAAAGATTTGATTGATTGCAGAAATTGATTCTTCACCTCAAACAATAATCACAAAAGGAATTCGCTTTCTCCTTGCTGTTAAGGAGCTCCAAAAAAAATTGATTGTATAGATAAATATAGATATTTAACTTCTGTAAAAAATACACGAAACAAGAAACAAGTACAACTATCTTGTCTTCCTCCAACATCGGCTTCTGCTAATCAACACTTGTATCGAGTATACTATCAAGTTCAGACATGGCATGAACTGAACCCAGAAGACTGGGGTTGGAAATTAACAGATAATACTTTGGAACCGATTCAAACTTTACTTCCACCTGCTCTGGAAAAACTCCTAAACACTATTTTTTGCAATTACAAAAAAGGTTGTAGTGCTAAATGGGGAAGAGTAGGGTTACTGTGTTCTCCAGCGTGTACTAATTGCCAAAGCCAGTCTTGCTCAAATGTCCAATTGAATACAACAGACGAAGATTCATGTGATTTCGATGAAGAGACAGCTGATTCATCTTCATTTGAACAATTTATGAACATCCAGCAAGAAGAAGAGGAGGAGGAAGAAGAAGAAATCGAATAAGACATGACTGTTGAAGTCGACTTTGAAGAGTATGAATCAGATTAAAATAGCAAAAGAAATCAGAACTACAGTTGAAGTCAATAACCAATATCAATATCAATAATAATCATCATACAGTTAAAAGAGTATTGTTCCTGAAAATTCCGTCATAACAGTTCGTGGAGTAGGCCTACCGGGGAAAACACGTTAAAAAACGCGTCAAAGTACACTACCTCACAGGTGGTGTGGAAATATGTGCATATTATGTAGAACGTGACTCCTTCAACTATTAGAATCGCGATATCTCAGGAATGGTGATTCTTAAAAAAAAGTATAAGGACCATTTTTGTAGATAGTTTTGAGATCTATAATTTTTGTCAGGGCTACTTTTTTGATAAAACATACCGTTTTTGAAAAAAATTCAAAAAAATCTCAAATTTTTACCTTTGACCTCGAATAACTTTTTTAGCACACATGGGATTGACGGGGACCTTTGACACTTTTCTAATGGTGTACCCAAGGTCTCCACCAAAATTTAGCTCTGTCTGAATTTTCGTTATTTGAAATGTCTATATTGACCGGGCTATATAATATGACAAAAGTTTAGAATACATTTTTTTCCAAGGGTTAGTTTGTTAGTCTAAGAAATTGCAAAGTGCTCTGGTCTCCTGGTATATAGCATGTTTCAAATGCGATACTGTTTCAGAAACTGTTAGGGGTACAGACATTGTTAAATTCCAGCAAAATTACTTGGTGTAAAAATTAATTAGTTTTAAAATTTCCCAGAACGAAACTAGAAATAATATATTCCTTATTGAGATATGAAAAATTTTCAAATTTTGGTTTTATAGTAATCCAAGATCATTGATAAGCTTCTAAAAAATTTTGTAAAATGTATAGGATAATAATAATTAAACATGTCACTACAATTAATTTAATCGGTCGATAGCCGCACGGTTTAAGGCGTCAGTCCTTAAATCGTGTGCAAATTTCTGCCCGGGTTCGATTCCCGCGGCCGGTAGACCGTAGATTAGCTATGCTTGTACAGAGAATTGGCACCCTCTGTGCAGGTATGGTAGGGTGGAAGAATGTTGGCTTGGGTCAATGTGAGAGATTGACACCGGTTGGCATTTGACCACCCCCCTAATTAATGAGGTTTTCCAGGTTTCC